AAAAAAATAAATTACACATCTATGAAACCTGCAGCTACTGTCTTTATTTAAAGTTGTAAGTATTTATAGTCCATGTTACCGGGCTGTAGAGTTCTCTGTTAGTGTAATGGCTTTAAAACTGTTTAAATCTTCAATTTTATCTCAAAGGACAACATGATATTTCTTCCAGTTTATATTTAACTAACTGCAACAATATTTTCAGTCACAATTACGTTATCAGGGGGTGGCAATACATTCTTAACTTTTAGAACAGGAGGAAGACGTTATGCATTGTATCTTTTTAAATACTGATAATGACACTAATTACAATGTATTTTAATATCCTTGATCCTTGTACTCTTTGAAACCTCTCTGTTGACTATCAGTAAATATCTGAAACCAAGTCAGCATGAAATCAAATTAGGGATGAAGCAATTGGGTTTTTGTTTGTTTGGTTGTTGTTGTTTTTTGGTTAAGAAATAAGTTATTTCCTGATTTTGCAAGTATACAAATGTAAGAGTATATAAACACTAGTCTCAGAGCTTTTCATCACCTCTATGGTGGGAGACTGAAGCTACTGGCTCACACTGAAAAGAAAAAAGACCTTCTACAAAAGGTCTGGTACAAACTCTTAAATTATCTTATCTCCTTTATTTAAAGAATTGACAGTAGTTATTGTCTTCTGTTTTTTCACAGAGACACCATGAAGCTCCTGGTTGTGGCTGCACTTCTTTGTGGATTGATGGTTCTGACCACTGCTAGTGAGTATTGCAGTATAATGTAAAGTATGTAAATATATGTCAGTATGTACGTGTTTAAATAATTTGTCACCATCTAATGTTTTAATTTGTTCATTTCTGCCACATGAAGATGTCGGCAGTGGTGCAAGAGGTTTAATTCCAACAGGTCAGTGGACATTTCCAGATTTTCACCAAAGTTAATCACATTTATAAACAAAAAGGAAAGCAATTGTGTTATGCATGATGAGTTTATAATAAGGAGGATATCTCTTAAGGAAACGCAGGTCAACAAAAAAATATTTTAAAATATATAATTATATATAACACAGCAAGAGAGAGGAAGAGATATTATGAAATTTAAATTGCACATAGAAATAGAGTCCCAAAAAAAGAAAATAAAAACAGTCACAAGCCAGTTCAAAGACCTTTTAGATACATTAAAGTTGTTCATTTAGTATAAGTTGTATAACTATAAATACCATATTGGTTTGTCATTTTTCGGTTTAACAATTGCCTTAGTTTGAGCACAAGTCACATACCAGAAATGCCAGCCTAATATCAGCCTCATATCAGCCCTTCTGGCTATCAAAAAGTTAAAAGTTTAAATCCAAAGGTGACCATACTTTGCCACCATGCCCCCTCAGCTTTACCAGGACCAGAGATACTAGCAGATTCAGTTGCTAAAACACATTTCCATTGACTTTTTCTAAGTGATCATGTTTTGTTCTGTTCAGTTCTCTTTGTTATTGATTTTATGATTATTCCTATATTTATAATTTTTGATGAAACTTTGTGTTTGGAAATTTTACTGCCTATTACTAGAGTGAAAAGATTAATAACTACTAAAAGAAGATTGCAGCTACATACATATAATTACAATTTATAACTGTAAGGGAATCAAAATGCCCTGTACATTTTCAGTCACTTAAACTACATAATATTTAATTGTCGAGATGGTATTTGTTTGTTTGTTTGTTTTTCAATATTGCATATGTCATGATTGAAAATAAAAAAATATATATAATATCAGCTGGAAACACATGTACATACAGCTATTTATTTGTCACTAGCAAGGAGTTACCGGTTCAACATGTCCTCTGGTTGTCCTCATGGTTGG